AGTCCTTGCCTACCAAAACAGGCAACACCACTTCAAAAAGGAAGAGAGAATGAGAATTAAAAAAAAAAAAAAAAAAAGACCCAAAACAAAAACCAAAACCTGAACCCAGGGCTTCACAGGGAAAGCACTTGCAGCCTCAGGGTCTCTGTAAGCACGTTGTCGTGCCTGCCAGCCCAGGCAGTGTTTGGTCTGTGATAAAGCTGGTTTTGCCCTGGGAGGTGGTGGCCCCGGGGATGCTCCTTGCCGCTCCGTCCCTGCGGCAGCGCGGTCTGCAGCCGCTGCCTGCCATGGGGAGCCCGGCACACCGGGACGGCTGCATTGTCGCCGTCACTCCATCCTCTTCATTTTTTTTTTTTCCCCTGGGAATATTAAGCTGAGCTTGGTTTGAAGCCTGAGAGCGCTTCGGCAGCACCTCGTACATCTCAGCATCGTTAGCTCCTGGTTATTTACCACGTTTTACCCTAGGATGCAAAACATCCCAAGCTCATCTCAAAGGCATTGCATTTAGCAGCATCTGCTGGGATGCAGCTGACCCTGACCTGGAGGCTACGAGGAGCTTTCTTGCCAGGAAACAGGGTCTGGCGTGGGCTGAGCACAACCCCGACGGCCGTTCAGAGCCACGGTGGCGGAGCAGAGAGGCGGCACCAGCCCATGTATCGTGGGGAGGACCGTGGTCGGATCTGGCCCCCATCCCGTCGGGTACCCGGGTGGAAGGAGCTGTCAGGAAAACACTTTTAAACCAGAAGTGGGACACACTTACACGTTGTAGGGGATCCGTGTGCCAGTGTGGTTTGCACTTTGGAGCGGTGGTTTCCTCTCTTTGTTCATCCAGCTCGCACCGCCACGGCGCTCAGAAAGGCAGGCGTGCCTCTGGCCACCTCCTGGAAGCTTATCTTACCCAAGAAGAATATATTAGATTTCCTTTTTAAATTAAAGCTTAAGATTTTTGTAATAAAATTAAAAAAAAAAAAAAAAGGCTTGAGCATAAGGTTATAAATTCACACTCGGTTTTCTTCTTCTGAAGTTAAAGCACACATGGACCATTTATTTTAACAAGAGACTGAATCAGCAAGAGACTTGTCCCATCTCAGCCATCAGCAGCCCTGGGGTCACCTTGGGCCATCCTAAAAGCACACAAGTTTCTCAAAAGCCGGGAAGGACCTACACTGAACTGACACTTTGAAAATCATTAGCTACATCCTCTATTTCAAGAAACTGAGGACATGAACACAAGCAGCAGCATTAATCAATATGCACATTTATTAATCCCCTTTCTGAGGGTTACAGATTAAAAGAGGGAGAGGTGAGGGGGGGGGGGTGTCGCAGTATTTTTAAGCCTGAGTGCTGATGGAAACTGCTAAGAGGGTTTGCAAGGAACCGGGCTGCTCACCAGTGTCTGTTATAGCCAGAAAGGCTTAAGTGGAGCCTAAAGTTAGGCCAGTGCTAAGAGCTCTTATATAATCTCTGGTACCAAGAGTAGCTGGGGTAGTTTCAAAGTCTTGGTGACTTTTTCTGCTGGTAGCATCATTTGCAGAAGAATTATCCCTACCGCATCTTGTGAAGTTGTGTGAATTGACTCATAGTTCGGTAAAAATGCTTGTGGTTTAGTAAAACATGGTCTGTTGGACTCCAGCATTGCGTTATCTCGGGGAAAGAAGTGGAACTAATTTTTATATGTTGCACTGGGTGATTTCTAATTGTTCCTGGCCATCCTGTGGAGTTAATTATTTCTCCTCCAGCCAACACCAGCTTCTAATTAGGGGACATAAAATTAAGATGGAAGAGCAGCAGTTTGCAAGGGTATTGCTCAGGAAGGAATCTGGGCTGGATTTAATCCAAAAGTATCCTCTTGTTTGCAAGATTTTGGTGGGGAGAGGATGTCTGAAGCGCCGCAGGGTACCAGCTGCTGCGTACACCCCCTGTAAGAGGGAGGACTAACGGAGCAGCCCTTCGCCTCCTAGAAGGGGGCAGTTGCCTCTTGCCCTCCTTGCCCATTCCCCTGCATCTCCCGTTCATTCAAAGGGCACAGATATTTCCTAAACCAGTTTTTCCTCCAGCAGATCCGGGGTGGCTCCTATCCCCCCAGCCGTGCAGCCGTGGCTGGGGGCAGCAGGCACAGAAGGGGCTCTGGGCGGTCCTGCTGCGGTGCTCAGCCCTGGTGATGCATTTCAACTGATTTATCATTTTTTTTTTCCCCATATTTCCCTCCATTTTTATTATTATTTTTTTTTAATTCTAAATATTTTTTTCTCCTGGGAGGATGATGTGACATCTACAGAGCCTCAGGACGGTGCTCCTTTTGGGGTACGGTTGCAAAGCCACGAGCTGAAATAGCTTGGCCAAGACTTTCTTCAAGCCATCTGTTTTCCCCATCAGGATGCATTACAGCTTTAGGAAACATAACACTGCTCTGAAAACAATCCTGGATCCTCACTGACACCCTCTTCTGCCAGGAGACTTCCGGAAGGTGTTTCTATAGTTATTTAATGGGAAGGGAACAAATTCTTTACCATAAGCCATCCCCTTGCTCCCCTGCACAGTGTGGTGTTAGTGTTATGTGCTGGTAGAAGAAAACGCTTTCAGAAATAGGAACAGTTTAGATGTTGCAGAAATCCACAGGTTTTTGGCCTCACCTGTCAGCTGCGTGTGGCACCAGCTGCTTTTTACAGGTGCTTAATAAATGCAAACGAGCTCTGGTGTTTTTCTCTCCCCTCCTTTTATAACCCCACTAACTTGCTCATTTTCATTCTGCTTCTGGTCAGCAGCGATGGCTTTGATGGCAGGTTTTCCCCCAGGCTTCAGCTAGGAATTAAACCTGGCTTAACTTTTACAGCAGGGTACAAATGGCTAGGGGTTTTCCAGCAAGACTCTTTTATATTAAGAAATCACATGTGGAGGAGCTGTGAGTGATTTTGATGAACTCCTACCACTGCAAAAAAAAAAAAAAGGGTTAGGGAGCTTTGGTGCTTTAGGAGGAAAAGCAATGAGAACGATGAATTTCCCCCAGGTTTTGTAGAGAGTTAAGGTATTTGATTTTGAAAGAAAAATTTAAAAGTTTTAGCTTCAGTTTCATACAAGCTGAAAGGTCATTTTAACCCTTCTTCCCTCAGATTTTCCTGGAGCAGAAAATTTGCTTTTCATTTCATCTACCCCACAATGAAGCTTACAACCGCTAATTTTGAGAAATTAGTGTCTTTCTGCAGAACTTGCTCTTGTCTCTATAAATGGGTCCTTGTTGAGAGACCGGTGCAGATGTCTTGTTAGCCATCACGATGTGAACCCCACATCTGTACCCACGGGCACAATGAAAACAGCAGCGTTGGTTTGGGTTTGATGCAAACCAGAAAGGACCTTCCCATAGAGCTGGATCCGGACCTTGTCCCAGTGATCCCAGCAGGAGATGAGACATGGCTCAGCTGCATCCAGAGAGGATTTTTTTTTGGTCTCCAGTTATCAGGAAACAGCCCCCGTGAAGTTCAACTAATTTCAGTGAGAGTAACTACAATCAAACATTAAACAATCATTTTACATCCTAAATCCATCATTAAAATACATTAACTACGTTTATGGTTTAACCAGTATTTTAGTGACTTTGTGAATGATGGAATTTGAATTTTGTTAAGCCAACAGACCAGTCTTTTAATAAATTTTTCATTACAGGAAACAAAGATAATTTGTCCATATCCATCTTTTCCCCTAAATATCAGCCCTACTACCCAACAAACCCAAGAAAAAGATACCTAAATCTTTACGGAGATAACTAAAAATGAGTGAGACACTGTGGAAGAAGAGCAGTGAAAAATGGAGACCATTCAGTAAAAATTGTATTTAAAAATCTATTCAGGTTGCAACACTTCTACCAAAAAGTGTCAGAAAATCTCTGATCTCGGGTTTTTTAATACTTAACCTGCATAAGACATATTTCTATACTTGACTGAAAGGCAAGTAAATATCTACCCATTGCAAACCCTTTCTCAAGAAATAACTGCAAATCACAGCTGTTGCTGCATTGCTCTTTTCCTAGCCGTGTTAAAGTTATTTGTTAAAAACAAATTGAGCTTGGCGATATCAAAATTTCAGCCGGGAAATACAAACCCATATACGACTGGGAAGGAAAAACAAACGCACAGCTTTCCCAGGATCATTTTGAGGGCGGGGGGGGATTCAGCCCCACCTCTTTGTCATGGGTGCATTTTCACCGTCGCTTTGGGTCTTTGCTCTTGTGGAGGGTTAAACGGCATGTGCCTGGAAGCGCAGCTGAAGGGTGGCTGCTCTGGGATGCTCTCATTGCTGACAGTAGCTCAACTAAGTGCAAGATCTTAGTAGGACGCAACGAGGCTTAGACATTTCTGTGGGTGATTAGTACCTCCGCCATGAGGTTAGGCAGGTGTGTAAATAAGTGCTTGTGCTCCGCAGCTATAAGCCAAGTCCTAGCCCAGAGGGAGAGACAAGAGAAGCTTCCCCTGGGTCTGTGTGAGGACATTCCCATCCGGGGGATTTTTGTGCCTTTCCCAGAAACATACGGGTCCAGGTGGTTTTAGCTGAGCGAGTTTCACGGCCTCAGTGCGGTCGCTTGAAAATTCCCCTTACACCTGCAGCGGTGCCTTCCCTGCAAGGGAGACCACCGCCGGGGTCCCAGGATCGGCGAGAGGCACACGGGGAAAACCTCCAGAGCTGCTCGAATTTTTTTTTTTTTTTTTTTATATTTTGTTTTCCTAGAGGCACAATCCACGCAACGCCTTCCCTTAAGCAACCCGACGTAGCTGGTGTAACCCCGTCTCCTTGCAGGTACTCCCGTCCCCCTTTGCTTCCCGGGAGGCAAAGCGGAGAGCTCAGGGTAGGGCTCAGGTAGCCGCGGGCACGGCGAAGCCATCAGCGGAGCGCCGTGGCCAACCACCACGCATTTTATGATTTCATTTAATTTTTTTTTTTTTCGGGGGACTTTGCTGTATCCCGGGCCGCGAGGGGGGAATAACCTCTTTGATTTTATTTTTTTTCAGTTCTCTCAGGCCAGACACACCACAGCCCTTTGAAACGCTCTGTGTCCCTTACCCCACCCATGAATGTGCCAAACCAACCTCTAGGACATGGATGGATGTCTCATGAGGACTTACGAGCTAGAGGACCCCAGTGCATCCCTTCCGATCATGCCCCCCTGTCTCCACAAAGCAGTGTAGCCTCTTCGGGAAGTGGTGGGAGTGAACATTTAGAAGATCAGCCTTCCGCTCGTAACACATTCCAGGAGGAAGGGAGTGGGATGAAAGGTGAGTGAAAAACCAGATGCCTCCCCCCTTCTCCTCCCCGACCCCAGCACCCAGAGGCAGGAGGGGAAAAGCCGTTTTCCCATCGGCGCGGGGCTCGGTTGGCGGTTTTGGGCGAGAGTCCTCGTAACCAAACGGGGCCTTTCAGCATTTCTTCCAGGCTTAGGAATTTAGGTTTAGGGGAATAAGTTAGCTTTTCTTTTAAGTAGCGGCTGGTCCTGATCTGATTTCTTACAGTGGGGTGCCGGTGGGCTGGTTTTCCCCCAAAATCCTGCAAGCTGCCAGCTTTCCGAAAAGCTGGATTTTTTTTCCAAAGCCTGTGGCTTTTGTCTGCGAGTGGTGCTCTTTTCTCTTTCTTTTTTATTACGGTGAAAAATAGCCTAGTGTAAGCTTAGCAAGGCATCTGTGATTTGCCATTGTGGTGTTTGTTACTCACCAAGTACTTGGGGAAGTTTTGGCTTAGGATATTTGTTTGCAGTAAATTTATCCTGTGTATTTCAGCTGTTTTTCCCATTATGCCTGCATTTCACAGAGACTCTTAGCAATAAATATATGTGATCCTGTTGGTAAACAAGGCAGAAACGAAACTCTATTGCTGCAGTCAAATATGGAGAGCAAACTTCAGGCTGTAGAGGAATAAATAGATTAAAACTGGGCAAACATACAGACTCTATATTCCTGTGAGCAGACAAAATGACTGAAAATGAACCCGCAGCTATTAGAGACTGATTTAAACAACTGCAGTTTTCATTAATGCGAAGCAGCTCAATTGTGTAAAGACCAGTGATGTAGCAGAATAAGGAAATAATTGTATTTTTGAAGTAGTCATAAGGTCTGATGTTATTCTCATTACAGACAAATCAAGATCCATATAAATCTCTGTAATGTGGGGCTGCGTTTGACTTGGCACTGTGTGACTTTGCCGTGCGTGAAATCAACGCATGAAAAAAAAAAAAAAAAAAACAAAAAAAAAACCCCTCGCGGTTCCGCCATGAGAGAGCTGCTGGGGGCTCAGCCCTCTCCCTGGCCGGACTTTGCACCCTGGGGTTGCTCTGGGATGGGGGCGATGGGCTGTAGGTGTGACCGGAGGATTTTCGGAGCCCCAGGGCCTGGCAGAGCTGGGCTTTCCCGCTCGTTAAGGAGCTCCTCATCAGGGAGCGCAGGGGGGGAAGCGCTCCGTGCCTACCCCAGGCTCTGGCTGCCTCCATCGCCTTACGGGGGGCCGGCAGGCGGGCGCGGGGGGGGGCACCGTCAGCATGTTGAAGGCTAAGCTGCGACCAGCATGAAGGGTCCCCAAGGTTTTCCGTGCCTGGGGCCGGATCCTGCGGTCTCTCAGGCCAGGGAGACCCTTCCTGGGAGCAAGTGGTGGAGGGGGGTCTGCTTATCGCTGTGTTTCTCCGCATTTCTGCTGCTGGAGCTGGGGAGGAGACCGTGGGGAGCTTGGCTCCCCGTGATCCACAGCTGCAGCTCCAGGACCTGCGTGGACAGAAATTTCCCAGTGCAATGCAGTTGGTCGGTAAGGCCAAATCTGCAAAACCCGGAGGTGCTATTGCCCAGGCTGGCTATGAGCAATAATCAAATAAATAAACTCCCCCGTATGAAGGCAGCCCGTCGCTGCTGTGTGCAGCCCCCCAGGGGAGGTGGCTGCCCTTCCTCGGGCCATCCCTACCTGGGCACCCTCCTTCTCTAGAGGAAGGTTTGCAAACATCTAAACCCGATTCCCCCCATTGCTGAGTCAGCCAAATTGCTTTTGTCCCACTGTCAGGGGATGTGCAAAACAGATGTCTGCAGCCTCTGGTGTCTACGACTGTCATGTCCTCCCCCCCCTCCACTGTATTTTCTTCTGCATGAACCAATCCAGTTTCTTCCCAGATGGTGTTTTCTAAACTTGAGGTTGTTCGTGCTTCTCTCCGCCGGGTTTTTTGCAGAAAGTCTGTATTTTATTGAAGGTTTGTTGACCAAAACTGGGCTCGTGAGCAGAGCAGAGACTCGCTGGCCATACAGACAGCGTTCCTGTGGCTGTATAGCTCATCGTCCTCAAATAACACACCACCGCGGGCTGCATATGACCCATTGTAACCCCACAGCTTTCCTGCAGAAAAAAAAAAAGTACTGCCCGTTCCCTGCCCTCGATTTGTGCCGTTTCTTGTTCCTACAGAAACGCACAACTTCGTGCATTTTTATTGGGTCACATCTTATTTCATCCAGACCGGTTGCTCGGTTTGCCAAGTCCCTTCTCTGAATTGCAGCCACGTCTCCCCGAGTGCCTGCAGGCTCTCGTGGCTTGGTGTCCCCCGTGCCCCTGGTCAGCTTGCTCCTTTTTGAACACCCTGCGGGGCATCCAGTAGGACACTGGGGAAGCCAGACCCACGAGAGACCCCCATCCAACGTGACTTAGCTGTTCATCTCCCCTGATGTCACCTCTTTGTCTCCTTTCCATCTCTCCGTGCGCTGAAGGAAAAGTGTCCTTTGACTTTTTCCCAGCCCCTGGTTTCTCCAGGGGGAGACAGGGACACTTTGTTCTCTGCAGAACCTGGCCATCTGTCTTCTGTTCCTTCCCGGGCCACAGCTTGGGGTGCACTGGGAGGGGGGTTAGGGTAGAATTGGGGGTTTCTGCTGCGAGTACATCCATGGCTTGGCATGGTGTGCCATAAGGGCACTTCTGAAGATGCCCTGTGTATATATTGGCCTCTCTCTATATATATATGGCAGGATGAATTGTTTTCCTTTTGAATTTCCATGCCAGCACCCAGATACACACGTGCCGGCCGGACTTTGGTGTTTCATGCCTATAGGGGATGATGTATGTGAGCAGCATGGAAGTCCTGGCTTTGCTGTTCACATCGGACGCAGCGTTTCAGACAGCCGTGCCATGACTTCGCAATTAGCTCCTGGTTAATCGGTGATTAACGAGTAGCTCCGTGGGTGGGCGGCTCGCTGCTCTGTGAGGAGCATTAGGAAATTTGACTTGCCAAGGACCATGAAATCACCTTAGATGACGTTGCACTTCCCGGTTGTCTCTTCCCCCCGTGGGGAGGGGGAAAGCCCCACCACCATCCAGTGCTGGGGCCACCATCCCATCCACCACATCTGTGTGCTGGGGTGGCTCCTTCTCCCCAGCCCACTCCCGGGGTTCCCATCCCCACTGGCGGGGGGGGGGGGCTCTGGACTGTTGTAGCTCCCCAAAATTAGGAGGTGGCCCGGGGAGGCTGATGCAAAGGGAAAGCAGAGCTGCTTCTGCGCTCTGACCCTCTGCAAGGGTTGGAGATGGGTTTCCTGGGGGGGTTTAATGTCTATATGAAGCTGCATCTCTCTTCTGAAAGTATCCCTGTGGGCTTTGCCATCGGCACGGTCGTGCGCCAAAGGCAGATGTCCCCAGGGACACGGGATCGGGTAGACTTTTAATGTGCCTTCAATAAAATGGCGTGGGTTTGTGTTAAAATGAAGTTGATATTCAAGCCTGCCAGTCATGCACTGGAAACAGAGGGCTTTCTGCTCATGGCTTTTAATTTTTTTAAATGGAAGCTTGGTTTAAGAGGCCTCTGGTAGCAAGTTTTAGGACTGTTGTATGTCGGGACTTTTGGAAAACATCAGAGTTCAACCCGTCCATGCTCAGTAACTGCTTTGTCCCCGTGTTTGGTGGGGGGCTGATCTCCTGAGGAGCATTTGAGGTATTTCATTGAAACGCAAATGCTGATGTGCATCAGAGGATGGAGAGTGTGAGCAAAACGCAGCATTTGGGGGCCGTTTGCATCCTCTGCTTGGATGCGAGTGGGGTTTGGGGTCAGCCTGGGTGGTGGGCAGCAGGAGACTTCTGGCAGATGTATGAATTGCCTTAGGGGACCAAACCAAGGGTCGATCTTGCCCTGTCCTCTCCAGCAATGAGGTGTTGGCTGGGGCAGAGGCCTGTGACAATTCTTGACTTGCATCTGGCAACGTGGGGCTTTCTGGACAGAGACCACCCATACTGAGGGATGTCCCAGCAGCGGGACTATCCTCCCCACATCATCTCATCCCTTTCCGAAGCAAGTCTGGCCTCACACTTGGCAGTCAGATCAACCTAGAAAACTTTTGAGGTTGGCTGCATTACTGAAGGTTATTGGATATGGCCGTGAAGGTTGTCCTCGTGCTGTCCTTGGGGGTGCTGAGCAGAGCACCAGCACCCGCATCAGCCCCAGCCCAGCAGCAGAAGCACACAGTGGGTGGAAATCCCTCCTGAAAACGGTGCAAGCCCCCATTCCTCCTCCCACCTCAGTGGGCACGTTGGGCAGAGGAACCCCATTGGGACATCACCTCCAGCCATCACTCCTTCCCCTCGGGTTTCCCTGCACCGTCAGCCCCTGCCTGCCGTGGGACGTGGGGTCCACCACCCACCCGACACATACCCCTTACATCAACTTAGAAATGATCAAAGAGAGGGGAGGTGTTGCTGTTAATTTGCATTTAGCCCCGAACAAGACATTTCCTGAGCCTCCACCTTCTCCCTCCATTCAAGGTGCAGGGTTTGGGGCAGAAACACTGGGGTTTTTTATCATTACTACCCCCGGTGTGGGTTGATATGGGGCTCCCGAGTGTCTCGCTGGTGGGGAAGGGACAAGGACTGATGGACAAGGGTATTGCTGGGAGCGGAGCGCGTGAGCTCAGTAGGCTAAGGCAGAGCTATTGTTGGGTTGTAGATGCTAAATAAAGCAGGTCTCAGTTTGGCACAGCGTTCCAAGCCTTTAGGATGCAAAGCAAAAGCGTCATCACGGGCACGGTGTTGTGCTGCAGCGCAGATATCTGCAGGGACCCCCCCGCCCTTGTGGGGTGTCACCATGGGCCCCCCAAACCTTCAAAACCCCGAGTAGCTGCTGAGCAGGCTGGAGTGGGGGAGGCTCGTATCCCATTGCCTTCTCCATGAAGGACACCTTGTCATGGGGTCTGGTGGGGTTTTGCATGTTGCAGAGGAAGGATTCCCCCTCCCTGGTCCCTCCTTGTGACACCACATTGACATTGGGAGGATAAAAGTATTTCGGGGTACCCATCCAGCCGAGCACAGAGGTGCTACACTGCAGATAATGACTGGGAAGGAAGAAGTCATTTCAGTCAGTGCATTTTCAGGTCCCAAGTCACCCTTATGAAATAGGCTGTAGGACCATCTTTGATGGCACATCATTTTTCCATGCTTTAAAAAAAAAAAAAAAAATCTCTTTATTTCTCTTTAAGCAGCCATTTAAATTTTCAGCACATCCCATCTTCCCTCCTGCCATAAATCAGTGTCTGCCATCTGCAAAACAGCCATTTGCTCATCCTGAGCTCAACCACTCTGTTAGCTTCGGTGGTTCCCACGTTCCTGGGAAGAGGGCAGCGAGGAGCTTGGCGTGCTGTGGTGCGACACCAGCTCCCCGTGGGCTAATTCCCGGTGGCTCAGCCACAGAAACCCAACCTCTGAGGACGTGCCCTCATCTGGGGGCTGGTTCCTCCTGCCATCCATAACCATAGCACTACGTCCTCATCCAGGAGCTGGTTCCTCCTGCCACCCATAACCATAGCACTACGTCCTCATCCAGGAGCTGGTTCCTCCTGCCATCCATAACCATAGCACTACGTCCTCATCCAGGAGCTGGTTCCTCCTGCCACCCATAACCATAGCACTACGTCCTCATCCAGGAGCTGGTTCCTCCTGCCATCCATAACCATAGCACTACGTCCTCATCCAGGAGCTGGTTCCTCCTGCCATCCATAACCATAGCACTACGTCCTCATCCAGGAGCTGGTTCCTCCTGCCACCCATAACCATAGCACTACGTCCTCCAAAAGGTCCGTGAAGTTCAGTAAGGTGTCTGAAGCTCCGCTGGGATGGCAGATGGCACCTCATCACCTCCTCCCGTTGCTGTTGATGCTCCTGCGCGCGGTTAAGCGGTGTCATGAACTCAACGGGAGCTCTCATCTCCTTCCCTTTGTGCTGCAGATGTCCCAGCCTGGCTGAAGAGCCTCCGGCTGCACAAGTACGCCGCCCTCTTCTCGCAGATGACGTATGAGGAGATGATGGCCCTCACCGAATGCCAGCTCGAGGCACAAGTACGTCCCACGTCACTCGTAAAGCCAGTCGGCCGCGGTCCCGACGCTTGCGCAGTCGGTAGATGAGATGCCTCCAACGCCTCTTCTGTGTCTTCACGTGGAAGGCGTTCTGCCCGCGGGTGGTTGGGAAGCAATCAGAGAAAGGAAAATTGGGTCTCGGGGTGTGAAAAAAACCACATTGTACCTGGAAAGGGGCCTTGTCCCAGATTTCTTACTGGAATCCCAGCACGAAAGTCCCATCACATTGCTGCACTTGTTTGGTTTTTTTTTTTTCCAGCTAGGATTAAGTTCAGGAGTTTCAGGGGCACAGTTTGTAGTACCCAACTCCCTTTAAAGGTCAGTGGCCAATTGCCTTGTCAACCTTTGAAAGTGTGCCCGCTTTCAGATTTACTTCTGCATTATCCTCGGGATGAAGAAGGCCACCTTTGCTTTCACTGTGTGAGATGTACCAGGATGGGATGGACTAGCTGGAAATCTTTATCTTTAGCAAGTCTCTAAGTGCTTTTCTATGTCCCACACTAATCCCTGCGCTCAGAAATGTGTTTAATTTATAGCAGCCCTTCTCATTTAGGGGAGGAAGGACTTGGGTTGACGCAGCTGTCCTGTGGAAATGTTAATGCCAGGTTTTGTGCTGTTTTTGCAGAACGTTACCAAAGGTGCAAGACACAAAATAGTCATCAGTATCCAAAAGCTAAAAGAAAGACAAAACCTGCTCAAATCTTTAGAAAGGGTAAGTAATCACAACCACGTTTGTATTTCTTCTTTCTCAAGAAGTCAGGAATTAATTCTAGGGCAAAGCACTCTTTGGTTACATACGTTGTTATCTTTTGCAGAGGAGTCTGTTGTTGGCTTGGCCACATCTGAATGATGTCTCAAACATTTCTGCACCAGATGGAGGTTTTATTTGGGGCTGTATTTTGCAGAGTGGGTCCTAATCCATCTCCAGCACTCACACAACTGGGATGGATATACCCTGCAGCACTGGTGCAAGCCCTGGCCAGCCCCAGGGTGCTCAGAAACACCTGAGCTCTGAGTGATGGAGGGCACCGTCCCAGCAACGTCGATGGGAAGGTGGTCACCCACCTGCTGAACCATGGTACAGGACCAGCTCTAGCCACAGCAGCCATTAAGGTCCTCTCTGCCTCTGGAGAACCAGCTGGGCAGAGTTTTAACCCCTGGTTATCCCTCAGCTGCTCGGTTATTTCTCCCTTCTGTCCCTCTCACGAGACCCCTCCGTGCACGGGGTCAGCACAGGGACCCCCGAGCCCTGCCCCTACCTCTCCATCCCCAAAAAGAGATGGGATTTCCCAGGGTCTGTCAGGTCAAGGGCCAGTGTGCTTTTCTGGAACATCATATGGGCGACCTGTCCCCAGGTAAAAAGCCAGACACCCACGTCAGTGCCTGAGCAGCGTCTTGAATTTCCAAGAACGAGTAGAAACTTCTTTGACACTTCAACAAAAGCTTAAAAAAAAACTCTGCAGAAACGGCTGTCGGAGAAGCAGCAGCACCACAGACTTGCTGGGAGCAGCTCACCCAACCTCTCACTATTTATTATTGCAATATTATATTATATTTAATTGCACCATCTTCAAACAGCAACTTGCAGAGCCTCCCACTAGGGGCTTTTAAATACTTATGTGGTGTGTTGCTATTTATTGGTGTTTTCGTTAGCTCACTGCTTCACTATTTATTTGTAATATGGGATTGTACTCAGAGTATGGCAGGAGCTAATAAAGCCATATTTACCTCCGTGTATTAATAATAACTATTAAATCCAAGAGACAGCCCGCTGGATTGAGGTTGCTTCGGCGATATGTTTTCCAGGCAATTGAACAGCATCTTCCCCCGCTTCTCTGCCTGGGTTTTGAAATATAGTATTGATTGACTGGCGCGGTGCGGGAGCTTAAGCCCAGTTCAGCTGACACAACCAGCCGCGCACGCTGTAAAATACAGGAGCTAAGTGGCAGGGACTGCTTTTGAGCCCTCGTGGGGTGGGTTTGGGCTGTGGAGCTGTGACCATGTCCCACTTCGCTGGGGCTCCGAGCTGCCTGTGAGCTGCTTTGCTTGGGAGGAGACGTTTTCCAGGCTTCCCATCCAATTTCTTCCTGCTAAACAAGAGCATGTGTGGGACTTGAATTTTCTGGGCAGTGTCTCGCTGCTAAAGATTGCTGCTTTCTTGGAAAGAGCTGCTCCACCCCTCTCTGCTGGTTAGCAGAGCAGGATTTTTTTCCTCAAGAAATAGCACCCAGCAGGCTTGACACCAGGTCTTCGAGAGGAGTGGAGCTGAGATGTCTGAGAGCGAGCTGGGGGTGCAGCAGAAATTAGGGTGGGCAACCATTTGGGGGCTGCAGCTGGCTCACACACAGCCTGCGTGCCCGCTTTGTGTCTCTTCCCGAGGCGCAGCCAGGACTCACTCCAAAAGCTGCCTCTTTCCAAGCAGCATCCCACGGGCCTGACCGTGCAGGAGCCTGCGATGAGCTGTTCTGGTCCATTAAAAACAAAATGCAATCATTTCCCATCAGTAGGACGAGGATCTGACCATAGAAAGGGAGTTCTTGATCCACACTATAACCGAGAGCACGGCTGGGGGTGTACCCAAACTCTCTCCCCCCTGGATAGACCTCCCACAGCATCTCCAAGCTGAATGTTTTCACTACAGGGATATAAATTCACCTGCAGCTTCGTGTTCTCCCCTTCTGCATCTGACCACAGCACACCCTACTCCCCTTGAGGACCTCCCCTTCCCCTCTGCATCCACTCCCCCAGCCCGTCCCAGTGTGGACGGGGACATCCCCACTTTGCTGCTGCAGGATGGGCTCCTGCATCCCAGCGTGGCCCCAGGGCATAAGGATGCTCCGGCAAGCAATTTGGGGCAGAGAAGTTAATGGAGAGCCAGGCTTGAAGGCACTGCTGGAAACTGGAGACAAACCGACGTTAAAAAAATATAATTCCCATTAAATAGAGCTGAAATGTCACAACTGTGGAATTGCTGGGGAAGGAGCAAGATACTCGCTGGTTTGGGCATTGAAATCTCACAGGCTCCGTCGCTCTCATGGAGTTGCCATCTTCCTGGTGGAAATTTGGAATTTCCACCTCAGGCTTGTTGCTGGTTTTGGGTCCCAGTGGTTGACGGAGCAGGTTTATCTCTGGGGATTCGGGTCTGAACGCATCCCTGGATAATCAGACACAGTCCCTGCAGCAGCTCCGCGCTCCGCTGCTCTAAGCAAAAGACTCAGTGAGTGAAGCATGGCTGTGGACTACGGACTGCAGCAGGGTCCTGTAGCAGGAGTGAGTCTGTCAGCTTTGCTGGGGATTTTCTGAGCTGTAACAGTAGGGGCCTGGTTCGTAGCTGATGTCCTGTTGTCCCTGCAGAGACAAACCCTCTCCTCTCCTCTTGAACCCGCAGGACATCCTGGAAGGTGGCAACTTGCGTGTCCCGCTGCAGGAACTACACCAAATGATCCTCACCCCCATCAAGGCCTACTCTTCCCAAAACTCGAGCACGGAGGAGCACAGCCGGGACGCGGACTCGCATCACCCCTCCTCCCTGCTCGGCTCGGACGGCCAAGGCTCTGACTGCAAGGACTCTGCCGCCGGAGGGATGCAGCAGCACCATTTGCCGGGATGCGAGGGCGAGTCGGGGGGGGCCCCTTTGCCCGAAGGTGACCTGCCCGGACAGTTCACCAGAGTGATGGGGAAAGGTGAGCGGTCGTCACTCGTTTTTGGTGTCCTGCTTCGGGGCAGGGTGTGTGCCGTGGCGGCCCTGGCAGCAGCCCCGCCCCGAGCCCCTACAAGCCACAGTCCTAGGGGTGACATTTTTGGGGGGTCCCATCACGCTGTGATAAGAGGTAAGAGCGTGGGGGAGGAGGTGGGCAGTGATTTTGGGGAGGGGCAGTGATGGAACGGGCTGCCTGCCCCAGGTCAGAAGTGGATGGCATCCTCTCCCTCCCCCAGGTCAGGGGCGGATAGCGCCTTCTCCCCTCCCATTCACAGCCCTGGGAGCATCCCACTGGTCCAGAGATGTTTTCAACAGCATCCCTTGGACTTGCTCTGCTTGTGTGGGGTTAACACTGGTGCGTGGGCTTAGTGTGAGCTGTCCAGAGTGCAGATCAGCTGAGTCCAAGCCTCTCTTTAAGCCCCAATTTAGATACAGGACATCCAAAATAACCTGGGTGCCTTCCCATGGCTGGCGCGGGGTGCACAGCTTTGCCTCTGGATTAACACACCGAGAGGTAGGGACTGACACCCTGTGCCATATTTTCGAGCAAATATGTATGAGCTTGGACGTGTCCTAACTCCGCTGAGTGGGCTCCGAGATGTCGGTGCTGGCTACGAGGAGGGAGATCTCCCTGGGGAAGAGGGGAGGGAGTCTCGTCCGCAGGCTCACACAGGAGACCAGGAACAGAAGGAAACTCTTTGGGATGCCATGAAGAAATATCAGCCCTGTCCCTGTTTCAGACCTTTTTTGCAAAAAATAGGCGAGGCGTTTTCTATATAAAAACTTGGTGCAGGATTTCTTGCCAGCTAATTCACTGCACACGCAGACAAACGTGAGTTTCTGGCCCCGTTTTAAACCTGCTGATGAATTCAGCCCGTGACAAATGCCTCCGTCGTGCCTGAAGCTCTACGTACAGCACAAGCCCTGCGAGGACAAGGTGTCCTCCTGGACTGCAAGGCATCCTTGCCCAGGGGTTATGACAGGAGAGACTCATTTCTCTGTGAACTCATTTCCACTTGCTTTTATGGCATTCATTCCAGAAGAGGTTAAAATCCATCGGGAAAGGTGAGAATCTGTTTGCAGCGGGGGCAGATTTTGGCCATAGGATCAGGAGTTCTCCCAGAGCTGGCTCTTGTCTAGGAATAGGGAATGATCCTGTGCCCCTGATTTGCTCAGGTCTAATTTTGGTGACTTCAGTGGTGTTACTCTGGATTTACACCATCATAATGGAGAACAAAATCTGGCCCTAAATATAGGACGACACGGCAGGAATTGGGGAAGGGTGTTTTTTCCCCGCTGATGAGAAGACCTGACCCATGAGACAAGGGAAATGGGATGTCCAAGGCATTTGTTGGAAGCCCCTGGACCCCAGCTCGGTGTCCCCATGCCCATTTCTCTTCTTTTTTTTTTTTTTTCCAGTATGCACACAACTTTTAGTTTCCCGACCCGACGAAGAGAATATAAGTTCCTATTTACAGCTCATAGACAAATGTCTAATCCACGAGGTGAGTTGTGACAGATCATTTAAAACTGTTGTTCTCATCACTTAGAAACTGTTTCCAAAGTGTCTGTTTATGTAAACCTTTTGGTTTCTAACACAAATATTTTTGGGGGGTATTAATAGTAATTCTGACAGAACAGGGCCGGAGCGGGCAGTAGCTCCAACGTGCTGCATGGAAATGTTGCTCCCCCCCCCTCTCCACACCCGCGTAACTGCCAAGACCTGGAGCTGGGAAATTCATCTGGCTCGTGACAGTCTGATCAGCAGCTGGATGAAAGAAAAAAAATCCCAGGATGAACACGCAGGCGGTTTCTATCGGGCCCGGCGATTCCTTGGCGTTGCCACCTCCTGTTTTGCAGCCCATGGGCTCGGGGATTTCGCAACGGGAGCATCTGTTCCTGCTCCCGGCAGAGCTGCCTTTGCTGGGCGATGGTTTGGGATGGCCCGGGAGGGATGGCCGGGAGGCAGCCCCGGTGCCCTGCAGCATTTCGTGCCCGTGCCTGCTGCACCTGGGAAAACAAGCTGCTTCTCATCGCCTGCCCATACGGCAGGGGCTGGAGGGACGTTGCACAGCCTCTCAGAGGAGCTGCAGGCTCTAAACATCTCTCGGTTGTTTGTTTATAAAAATACACGCTCTCAAAGCGCAGAAGAATCTCCTCTGAGGAGGGCTGGTGGCTGCCAACCCCAAAATGTGCCGCCTCGCGCTGCGTGGGTGAGGAGTGAGGTGACTCGCAGCCCCTCGCAGCTGAAGCCGGTGCCCGAGCCGCGCTCGTGCAAAGGTTTGATCCGTTCGTCTCCACCGCGAGCACAGGGCGTCTCGAATCGGGGTGAAATAGCTGGATACCGGGCAAAAATGGAAGCGCTTCGTCATTTTTTTTTTATTTTTTTTTTTTTTTTCGGGAACTGTGCCCCCCCCCCCCCCCCCACCCCGAGGCCTCTTCTCGATCACGGCGGGGGGGTTGCGGTGCGTGTTGCTGGCAACGCCTGCCGGTGTCAGCCAACATTTGGCCCCGGGCAGTACGGGGTGGTGGCACCGGCTGCTGCTGCTCTCGGGTTTGCTGCAAGACGGGTTTAGAGCCGGGGGTATGGTCTTGGTGCTTTACACAGGCATGGGCAGCGGCGAATAGCTGGAGGGGCTGGAGGGGGGAGCGTGTCTGCTCCCGCTTGCTCCCCTCTCCGGGAGCAGCAGAGCCTGGAAATGGTGCCTGGACTTCCCAGACGGCCGAGCAGGGCATCGCTGGGGGAGCAGAGAGGATCAAGGGTGGTGGGAGCAGATACGCAGGGCCGGAGCCGGGAAGGCACGGAGCTGCAGGGGGGTTCATTTTCCAAGAGCGCCCAGGACGGACGTGGTGACGCGGCGTCACCCCAGCGGTGCCAGCCTGTGTCCCAGGACCTCCATCTGCCTCGGCTCCGGCGTAATCAGCACGGGGAGAGAGCATCTCCTCTGGAGGGTGGTTCGAAGCAATCAAGTCAGGTGCTAATTAGCCTCCAGATTGTCCTCCGGAGTCCTCTGCTCCTCTCTGTCGGCGTCACGGAGACGTTGGGTGTCTAAAGTTAGCTGTGGGCGTCCCCAAAACCCACAGTGTCTGCCTGGAGGTCTGGGGTGTTTTGGGAGGAGGTCTGTCCCCGGCGTGGGTGACCTTGGCTGGGAGCCCAGGGGGGGTGACGGGGCTCACCCGGGGTGACCTCCCGCAGAGGGGTCTGGGGGGGCAGCAGGGAAGCTTTGGGGAAGCCCTGCTCTGCCCAGGGGGCTTGGCAGCCTTGGGGGCAGAGCCAAGCCATCGCTCAAGGGACGCTGCCAGAGCGTTTTCTCCACCTGAGATGAGAAAATCCTTGAGAGAGACCAGGGTTTCCCTCTGGACTTGCCGATGGGGCTCAGCTCACACCACCACCTGCTCCGGCTGCTTTTCTTCACACCCACACCCACACACGCATCCCTGCTCGCTTTGTCCAGAAAAATATTCATACGTTTCCTATTTTTCTCATTTCTTTGGGCAGGCGTTTACAGAGATCCAGAAGAAGCGGCTGCTGTCATGGAAACAGCAGGTGCAGAAACTCTTTCGGTCTTTCCCTCGGAAATCCCTCCTGGAGCTGTCAGGCTATCGGCAGCAGAGGAGGTACGCTGGCTTTTGGGGAGGGAGGGATGCAGCCGCCGGAGGGGCCGGCAGGAACGTCTCGAGCGGGACCGATGTCTCCCAACAGGGAGGGAACGGATCCTGCCAGGTTCAGAGCCGCGTTTCGGGAGGGAGGAGGGTTGGAAAAGCTTCAGCAATAAAACCCCAGGCGTTGGCTGGGAAGGCAAAGCGGCAGTGAGTTTTCTCGTGTGTGTGGCCGGTGCCTGCCCCACCGATTCCCACCGCGTCTCCCCGGCTCCGAAGCCAGCGCTTCCCAGCCGCGCCGCGTGGCCCCGACGCTGGGCGGCCGGCTCGGCCCCCGCCCGCTGCTCTTTGCTGATTACATCAGCGCTGGAGTTTCACCAAAAAGCCGTCAACTGGCAAAAAAAAAAAAAAAAAAAAAAAAAAAAAAAAAAAAAAAAAAAGGAGGCTTAGAGTGTGCAGAGCCGGGGCAGGGGGGGCTGCGTTCAGCGAGCCTGAGTGGGGGATGTGTTGCAAACACCGTGTTTGCTCACTTCTGGGTGATCCTAGAAAGCGCTGGGGTTATGACAAGAACAGATATTTTTAGATCCGTTTTAACAACAGCGTCAGCCTTTTGTTTCATTCTGCTAAGTCTATTTTATTGCAGTCTTGTGCAAGTTCTTTTTTCTGAAAAAGGGGTTTGGAGATAACTGGGAGCATTTGGACAGCCGGGATGTGAGTTCAGAAGGAATGAGCACGGGACCAGAGTGTTCCCCAGTGGAATTCAATATTTTGGAATGGAAAAACAAGCGATTTCAGTGTTCATGGCAGAATCAGAAGCAGAGTAGACAAGAGCAAAGGTTTTTGATGGACCCGTGTGGTCTAGGCCATCACCAGCGCAGCGTTTTAGCAGCACATTCAGGCTAACCCCAAGCCCAAGGTAGATCTGCCGGGTTGAAATGATCCCAGTCCCTTTCCTGGGGCTGCCCAGGATGCTCTCTAGTTTCCTTGCTGCTTTTGAGCTGTTTGCATTTTGCATTTCTTCTGCTCCTTCTCCTGGGAAGCTGCGGGTGAGGAAGGAGCATGCGGCCAGCCCTGCTTTTCTCATGGGGATTGAATGGCATGAGCGTTTTTTGGATGAGGTTTAAAGAAACCCCGTCGTACTTCTGTTTAGTAAATCTATCCGGTTTTGGGGTCCCAGCATGTTATTAATGTCATCTGAAGTGTGTTTGCAGCCACCCACACAAGCAGGAGAGATGAGGGCTGGGAGGAAGGTGAGCTGAAACATCTGCAAGGGTGATTAAGTGCTGGAGAAGGGCAGGGGGGAACAGGGAGCATAAAAGCAACCGCAACCGTGGGTTTGCAGAGTGCTCCTACCCTTGGCTGTGCTTAAACCCGATAACAGCATCGCAGTCCTGCTGCCCACCCAACCAGGCAGAGACACCAAGCCAACGTTGTGCGGCAAGGGGGCCCGCACTGCTTGCGTTTCCAAGGATCTCCGGGTTATTTTTGTGTCCTTCCTCTGGTTTTAAATACCAAAAACCCACATGGGGAGGGATGCCGGTGTGTGCGACTCTCCTCTCCGAGGAGTAAAGGTGGTTTCATGCCCTGAGGCTGGTGTCTCAGGACGTTGGGGCTGCGTGGTCTGGGGTCCGGATGGCTGGAGGAGGGTTTGCAGTGCAGAGACGGGAGCGGGTGCAGAGCCAGTCCCACCTCTGAGGAACGTGCCTTTCTCTCAGCCCCTTCCTAGGAAATCTTGGACTTGTTAGGTTGTTTTAACCAAGTTTTACAGCACTTGAGAAGTCTCAAGAGAGGACCATATCCCTAAAAACGAACCTCCTAGAAGGGGAGAAGGTCCAACCCTTCTAGCATCCAGCAAAGAAAATCCAACAGTGTGAGCTGAACCTTTCTCAGACGCTAGAGAATCCACACACGAGAGAGCTCTCTCCGGCACAGCTCAAAGGCGTGAAGAGTTTAAGTCAAACCCCAAGAACTCAGGCATCGCTAGCTCCAATGCCCGGGGAATTGCCTGCGTTATTTTAGCTTGCATTTAAGAACAGGCCCGTTTTGCCGGAGTAAAATAAACTTTAAAAAAAAACTAATAAAAATAATCCGCATCCGAGAACTGCAAAAGGGAGGGAGGGGGTGTCTGGCAGAGGGGGAGAAGAAAGGGGGCTGCAGCACCTTGCGCCGCCACGGGGGCACCCCGGGGACGTTTGGTTGTTGGCCTGAGCGCACCAACCCAGCCGCTCGCCCCCGCAGCACCGTCCCCTTGCAGGGGCCGATTTCTCACCCGCGGCGCTTTCTCCCCCCCGCAGCCGAGGCTTTGGCCAGTCGAACTCCTTACCGACAGCCGGGTCCGCAGGGGCAGGGCTGGGCCGGCGAAACCCCCGCCAGTTCCAGATCCCCTCCCGCAACCTCCCCACCGCCCGGCTGGGGCTGCTGGGCCCCAGTGGGTTACTGGGCACCCCCCAGCGCAGCCCCGCCGCCAGCCCCGCCATCCTCAAGCAAGGCAGACAGGTTGGTCGGCGTTCGCGGCATCTCCAGCTTTTCCATCCCTTTCCCCACAAGCTTCTTTTGGTTTTCCCGCTCTTTGTCCAAGTCGCCTTTTTTGTTTTGGTTTGGGTTTGGGTTTTTTTTTGTTTTTTGTTTTTTTTTTTTTTCCATTTTCGGGTCACCCTCTCCTCTGCGCGGCGGGATGCAGAAGAGAGACCGGCGGGAGGAGGGGGCAAACCGGGAGGTGAAGGAGGGGAGGGATGAGCCCCAAAGGGTTATAAACACCTGGCACAGAGGCCTCCGGTTTACACCGCTCACCCCTTTTTTTGTTCGCTTCCTGCAGAACCTCTGGTTTGCCAACCCGGGGGGCAGCAACAGCATGCCCAGCCGGAGCCACAGCTCGGTGCAAAGGACGCGCTCGCTGCCGGTCCACACCTCCCCGCAGACCATGCTGATGTTTCAGCAGCCAGGTAGGGTGCAGACATTTGCTTTTTGGCTTAGCGAGAGGCGGGGGGGCTGCGGGAAAGGAACCTCGCCGCGGGCGCATCGCCCCTTGTAGCGAGCCGGGTATCTTTGACGTTAGTGGGTTGGTCGAACTGGAAACATCACTGGAAGGATTTTGACCCCATACGTGACATCTTGGCCCTACGTATGTAAATGTTGGTGCCTTACCTGACGGGCTTCTGAGGGGCTTCGTGTCAGGCGGGGAAGGCGACAGCTCATCTGTCACCTTTTTAACTCACCCCTGGACATGGAGACCTCGGCACGGAGGGACCGCCTTCGTGCGCTCAAGGGAAATTCTTTTTGCCATGCGTGAGAAGGGGAGTGATGCCGTGTCGGTGCTCCCTTCCCAAACACCGCGAAAACGCTCCGGTGTATAGGAGCATCCTCTGATTCAGGGGGTTCCTGTTGAAATTGGACCCTGAACCTGGAGCATCCTTCCAATGAGGACAGTTTTTCTCTGTGTATCCCTTCATCAGCGTTTAAACCTGCCTTTTCTTACCAACACACTTACAACAATTTATACCACAGGGCAGGGAGTTACACCCCACCCCAGTAAACTAAACCTCATCCATAAGCTCCTGCCACGGTTTCAGCTTGGCAGCTCCCCTCACACCACACCCCTGCGGTGTTTTAAGTGCGTAATTTAGGCGGGAAATGTCCTGTACAGCAAAAGCAGCTTCTGTTCTTGGGTATTGATTAAACACCGGGACAAGGGCACATTTCTGCAGGCACTCAAGGAGAATAAATAGGTTTCTCTTTGCATGTTAGCCTGCGGTGAATGAGGGCGTAGGAGGATTAGAGAACCAAAGATGCAGACCGAGTCGCAAGGAAAATAAACCATCATGTGGAGCTGAGCTCCTGAAACACTTTTCATCGGGCTGCGGGGATCTCAACCCTCCTGGACCTTGTCCCATGTTCCTGCAAGCTGGTGGCAAGCCGGAGGTGCCGGCCATCGGTAGCAAAAGCCGTATTTGCAAAGTTTTTTGCTGCAAAGGGGAGGGCGTTTTGGTGCTGTATGGATCAGGCCGGGGTGTCGCAGCGCACCAGACTTCATCCCCCCCAACCTCTTTTTTTTTGGGGGCTTACCTTCCCAGGGACGTGGCAGCACGACCCGGGGGCGACCGAGTGGTGGAGAAGCCGGTGGGTGTCTCTGCCGGTCTGTGCTGCCATCCCATGTCCGAGCGTTAACCCTGCCTGCACAGGCAGCTCCCGGCCCCGCTGCTCCCCAGAACATTTTGACATGTATCGAGGATTTTTGCAGGGCCTGAGCAAGGGGAGAGCCCGGGGCTGCCCCCCTCCCAGGGTGGGGGTCCCGCTCTCACCCCAGCTCCCATCCAAGCATCTCCAGCTGGCACCTGAACCCCTCGTTTCCATCCATCTTCTGCTGCAATGCCGTTGAGCCTCCCCAGATTTACCCCTTCTTGATAAGAAACAGGGGGGAGCCACGACTATTTTTGCAAACGTCTCTTGCCAGAGGTGATTGCACCGGGGAGGGAAGCGCTGCCAGAAATCCAGCCGTGCGGTCAGACCCTCTTGGGGCACCTTTCAGGTGTTTTCCCACCCCACGTGCACCCACGCTGGGGACGGCAGAGCGGGCAGGGTCCCTGCCAGCTCCCCTGACCGAAATCTCGTGTCCCTTTCTCCCCGCAGAGTTCCAGGTGCCGGTGACTGAACCTGACATCAACAACAGGCTGGAGTCCCTGTGCCTGAGCATGACGGAGCACGCGCTCAGCGGTGAGCACTCCCTCCTCCTCGGGCTCTTCCAACACGTCCACACCGCCTCCGCCGAGCCCCCCAGCACCTGCCCCGCGCCCCCCAAAAGCTGGGACAGGCTGTGGCTGTGAGGGGACGGGACGGCGGCGGGGCTGGATGAAGGGATGCTCCCCGGGATGCTCCCGGGGATGCTCCGGGGATGGGTCGGATGGGGACATGGGCTTCTCTCAGCGAGGTAGCCAGGGCAGGGGGTAAAACCGAACGCAGGGATCGCACCCAGCACTAGTGGAGTCTGTGCTTCTTAGCCACTAGTTAGCTTGCTAATAATAATTAGTATTAGCTCGCTAGTCTGTTATTAGTTCTTGATAAAGCCCTTGCCACTGGCGCACTCAAATGGTTCACAGGCTTTGGAGTATTTTACCCTTCTGCCACCGGCATCCCTCATTTGGTGTGGGGGGTGTGGGAGCCCCCAGGGCACGGGGCTAAAACTGTGCTGGGTGCTGTGCCGGGAGCCGTGCCGGCAGCACGGGCAGCTCCTTGCCCACACCTGGGGTGGCTGCGGATAACGGGCACGGGGAGGGAGGAGGACCAGGCGTTAAAACAGGCGGAAAAGATGGAAAAAGCAGCAGCGGCGCGATGGAGAGCCCGGTGCAGCAAAAAGCACCAGCAGCAGACGCACCCGGTGCCCCTCGCCGAGGCACTGGACCCCCAAGGATGAAGGATGACCCCTCCACCCCCAGCGATGGGATGAGCACGGCCACCGGCATCGCCCAGACCCTCCCGAATAACCAAGTCGGGTCTCGCCTCCCGCGATCCCCGGACTGCGTCCAACGGTTGAGGACGGGAGCCCCTCGGGGAGGAGGAGTGGCACCCGGCTCCCTGCGGTGATGTGACAGCCCGTCCGGGGGAGAGGGACATGAGCACGAGGACTGTAAGAGGCAGCAGGGCCCTGGCAGTGCCACGGCAGCATCCTCAGCCGGGAAATCAAGGACACTTCTGTCACCCGAAGCGTTTCTCCGGCGTGTGCCCAGGCGAGGCTTAGCTGTCTTGTTCCTCTGCAGGGTACTGTTCCTCCGAGTTGTTTTTTCCAGGTCGCATACCCCGAGCGTCTCGAAACCGGTTGTGCTATGAATAGCTCTTAAAAAAAATAAACCTTCGGGGGAGAAAAAAAAAAAAAAAAGAAAAAAAAAAAAAAAAAAGGCGTAACAAACCTGTTTGTTTTTAGTCTTAAAGAGGGAGGCGGCCCGGGAGCGCTCTGTTCAGAGCCGCCCCGGGAGCTGCTGCCCCCGCCGCTCTGCATCCTGGGGACGGGGGTTTGGGGTGGGGGACGGGGGGGTGGTCGGGACGATTGGAGGGTTGGGAAAGCTGTTGGGTGTTGATTTCTGGCCCCGTAAGAGCCGCTGGTGCCCTGGGGTGGGTTGTGGACCCCTCGCTCCTGGGCTGGGGGCTGTGGGTGGACGTGTCCCTGCTGTCACAGGACGCAGGGGATGGGGGCTTTGGGGGGACACAAATGACTCCTGGGTTGTTTTTTTTTTTTTCCTGCCACGATCCTCAGATGGAGGAAAACTTTACATACTCTGCGATGCAGGTGTTGTGGGGATGGGTTGGCTCAGGGGCAAGGCAGCCCCCCCCCCCCCCCGGGACCAGCTGTATCCCTGTCCCCCCACTCCTGGGCAGTGGGTCATGAATTTGTCCTGCTGTGGGGGGGTCCCAGACTCGCACCCACCTTACAGCGAGGCCAGGCTGCCCAGAAAACCCCTCTGCTCCTGGGAGAGGCGCCGTGGGGACGTGGCAGAGGGTCTGGACCAGTGTTGGGACAGCGGTTTGGGCAGTGGAGGCGGGGGGGGGGGGGGGGGGGGATGGATGCTGTGGGGTGGGGACAGACAGTGGCACGGAGGCACTGGCAAAGCGCTGCCACCCCAAAACCCTTCTGCGCCCCTTTGGGGAGATGGAGGGGTGGGGGTGGCCCCGCGGTGCCCCCTCGCCGCAGGGGCCGTGGGTTGGGGGGGTCCATCCCCGGTTTTGGGGGTGAGGGGCGAGGGGTACCAGTGCAAAGTGAGCGGCTGCTGGCCGGGGCTGCCCCTAACTCTCCCTTCCCACTTGCAGATGGTGTCGACCGAACCTCCACGATCTAGAAGGCGTCGCGACGGGGACGCTGGCCGGGAGAACAACTGCTGCGGGTCCAGCGGCGAGGTCGGGGCTTGCAGGGAGCCTCAGCGATAGCTTGCAGCCTTTCTCCTCTCTCTCCTCTCCTCTCTCTTTCTCTCTCTCCTGTTTTAATTTTGTGAATGTGTAGATTGTCCTTGTGAACATATCATTAGACTTGGAATTTGTGTTGTCATTTATTACATCCATGCTAGGGGTGGGGAAAAATCAAAAAAAAAAAAAAAAAAAAAAATCAACAGCGATGATGAGAAAGCATGGGGAGGGTTGGGGGGGGGGGAACGCGGCAGGAGAGTGTTGACAACGGAGGGTTCACCCGAGCACCGTGGGCAAACCCTGTTTCTGGATGAGGATACGAATGAATATCAAATATCCCGTGGGTGTGTATGACCAAAAACCCTTTGGGGAGGAGTTGCCTGTCCCGCCGGGGGCTTCGGGACTGGTGGTCCCATCTCTTGAGTTTCGCTGTGTTCAGGCACGGACTGGCCCGGCGAGGCCAGATTTTTAAAAAAAAAAAAAAAAAAAAAAAAAAAATAACCCCAAAATTTCCTTTCAGTTTAGCCAAGAGCATCCGCGGTTCCGAGGCAGCGTTGTGCACAGAGCAGCGGAGGGTCGGTGGGTGCCTGCCGGCTGTGGGGTCAACACCCCCACCCCCCCGCCATCCCTGTGCCACCGGCGTGGGGTTGGGGTACAGGGATGTGCCGGGGGGGGGGGGGGGGGTGTCACACCCGGCGGAGGGTCCCGGGGGATGTTGGTGACGTGGGGGGGGGGATGCTGGGTGAGTTTCTGTGTCTCTTGCCTTGCCTGCGTGGGTACCGGGAAGGTGCTGCATCCATGGCTTTACACATCTGCCCCCCCCCGCACCCCCCCACCCCCCCAAGCCTGCCAAAACCCAGCCATGAGGGGATTTTCCAACCCCCGGCGGGACCCACGAGGGCTGAAGGAGGCTGGGGAGTGAGCCTGCTGGTTTATTTACCCAAATAACCAAGCCCCAAAGGGCACCAAAATGCAGCTTCCCAGCCCCGTTTTCTTGGCGTGAAACCTGCGCCGGGGAGGAGATGTGGGTGGCGAGGGGCTTGGCCGCCTCCTCCCCCGCCGCTCTGCTGCTTTTTATAACGGGGAGTTAAATTTGGGCCGAGGGCACGAAATAGGTGAACGGCTGCTCGAGCCCGTGCTCAAAGCAAAACCGGGGGCCAGGAAAAACCGCGGGCGCCCGCAGCGGCGCTGGGCGTAGCGGCAGCTGACGGCTGCTGGGGTGCCTCGGGTGGAATAATAATAAATTTCAACTTAATTAATGAGGAAAGGTGACGAAGGGGGGAGCGGCAGCCGTGGGGCGGGGGGGGTGGGGGTGGTGGGGGGAGGTTTGCAGTAATATTCCCCAAATGGGGCTCGGCCGTGTGCCGGGGCTGGCCGGAGCGGGGTTGGGGGGCTGAGGGGGAGCCGGAGCAGCGGCTGGGCCGGCGGCGATGGGAGGTGTGTGAATCCATTTGCCATGCAGCATTTTTAAGTTGTTTTCTAAAAAAAAAAAAAAAAAAACAAAACAACAACAACAAAAAAAATTAGTGCCAAATGCCATGTTTTCTGTTTGCTGGTTTTGCTGTTCCTTGGTGTCCTGCTTCCCCGCAGGCATGAGGTTGGGGGTGGGGGGTGGGAGTGTGGGGCCGGGGGGAGTGGAGGAAGGAAAACCCGAAAGCGAGGGAGGTTGGGGAGAGGTGTGAGGAGGTGAAGGAGAAGCGGGGGCCGGGGGCGGCTGGGGACCTGGGTCACACCCCCCCCCACCCCCGAGCACCCCCAGGTCGTATGAAACCGAGGTGCGAACACAACCGCCGTAGCAGGAGCCTTCCCCAGGGAAGGCTCAAAAGTATTTACGGAGCTGAAATTCTATTTATTCCTTCGCTGACTATAGAAACAGAGGTTATCTGATTGTTAAGAGATATTATTTTGGATATATTAACTTGCTATGGCTGGTAACCATGATACTGTCTGTTATTACAACCACCAAATAATTCAATTGTTTTTTCCTTTTATTAAAAAAAAAAAAAAGCTTATTTTCCATTGACAGTGTATAGGTTAATAACAACTTAGTTGTGTTTGCCGTTTCTCGTTGGGTTTTTTTTGGTTTTTTTTTTTTTTTGAAGTAAAAAAAACAAAAGTGGCTTCAGTTGCGTTCGGGACGTCCTGCCTGGGTCTGGGTGCCTGTGCTGAGTGCAGGCAGCAGAGCTCCAGTGAAGGAAGTTTAAAAAAAAAAAAAAAAAAAAAAAAAAAAAATGCTCGAATCCTAAAAGAAAATTATTTATAAAAAGAAAAAAGCATTAAAAAAAAAAATAATAATAATAACCAGTTGCATGAGTGAGGCTGTGAAGTCAAATCTTTAGTAATAAAGCGGCAGTGCCTTTCTTTTTTGTATTCACCCGTTCACCCCACGTGCAGCTGTTTTGTACCACGCGCGCGTCGTGGCGCGGGAGATGCCGCCGCCGGGGGGGTCCTCGGCGTCGGGTGGGCATCTCCCGCCGTCCCCCCCGCTCTCCCAGAGACAGGCCCTGGCCCCCCCAGCACCCGCCGGGGACCTTTTACTGGTGCTGTTCCCCTGAGCCGTCCCCGGCTGCAGCGGGGGAGGCCGGCCAGCTCAGCGCCCAAGTGTCCTTGGGTCCGGCGGATGCTCCCCGCGGCTGCGACACCCAGGGAAAGAAAAAAAAAAAAATTAAAAAAAAAATTAAAACCCACCCTTTTCTTTCGAGGTGTCCTCCCCAGGGACAAGCCCTGAGCTCGACTGGACTTGAGCTGGGCTTTTGCCTTTGCTTGCTCAGCTCATTCAAAAAAAAAAAAATCTTCAGGGTTGGGGGGTCAAGCCCGGCCAGCATCCAGCAGGAAAATCCAAAACTGTGATTTACGCCCGCGAGCGGCGCGGAGCGAAGCTCGAGTTTGGTCAGCACTTAGGGAAACTATTTCTGTTGTCACCTTTCTCCGTGTCGGGGTGCGGCCGTGCCCCAGGTTTGGCTTTCTGAATGTGCCTGATGGAAAGTGGGTCCCGCAGACGTCTATAATTTGCACACAGCGACGATAACACTAAAGTTGATTTTATACAAGTCATCAGAGTTTGCAAAGTGAGTTTTATTTTTTGTATTCCTTTATCTTTACTTAAAGGTGAATGTGTATTCCTCTGGGAGGAATAGGAAGAAAAAAAAAAAAAACAAACAGGAATGTTAATAATGTTAAACAGAATACTTCCTCCCTTATTAATATATATATATATAACCCTTATGTATTTATGCATATTGTAAGCTTACTTTAAAAAGCTTTGAACTCTCTTCTGTTGCATGCCGTTCCTGGGCAGCCTTTTATTGTACATGCATGCCTTTAGTCCTGGTTTTTCTGTACAAAGTTAGTGCACAAAGAACTATTTTTGCCTAGTTAATGTTGCCAAGCAATGCATATTTTTAAATTTTTTTTTTTTTGTCATATATGGAAATAGCATGTTTGTTACATGTAAAAGCTTCCCGATATAAAGAAATACTAATGTTTGGAGATGCCGGTCTTTGCAAGTGTACAGTTTTCAAATGTTGTTCCCAGTGAAACACCCTCGTGATTTCAACTTGCTCCAATGTATTTATTACTCATTTCCTCCCATGTAACTAGGAATCATGGCTATATTTCATATCAACGTTATATTGAAAGTGAAGGGAGATGATTAATACAAGGTTTTGTAACACTGGGGTGTGGCGCCTCCTTATTTACGCTCTTGTTGGCAGCTGGCCTCCTTCTTTAAAAAAAAAAAAATAGACTAAAATAAATGGCCAGCCCCGTGGGGTAAGAGAGGGGAGGAGGAGTTACGTAGTTCTGCAAGGGGGGGGGGCGGGGTATTATCTTTATATAAAGCCTGTGGCAGGGCTTACAAATCCCTGGCATTCTCCACGCAGCCGCTTCTCTGTCCCTTTGGGACGCCCACGCCCCGGGAGCTGTTTTAGATACAGGATTTTCTTTTGAAATCAGCAGGAATCGGGGCTGGAGCTGAGGCTGCGGCAGCACACGGAGGAGCTGGCTTGGCCGAGAGCCCTCAGCGTGTGCGTAGAGACGTTTGGGTCGGGTTGTTTTGTTTTGTTGTTGGGTTGTTTTTTTTTAAGTCTGGGCTGATTCTGGGCTTAAAACCTGCAAATTTCAGACCCCTGCCTTGGGCCAGAGCGGGCGGGGAAGGATGCTCGGAGCTGGCATTGCCGCTCGGCCGCAGGAGGTGCCGAGGGCAGGACCCTGACTTCTGGCCTGGGTTTTTCCATACATTTCTCAGCTTTGGGCTCTGAAGGGGCTGGTGCTGAGCGTTGCTGAGGTCAGCGGGGACCCCCCCACGCCCCGGTCGCCCCATCCCACCCCCTGTGTGGCCCCGGGGGGCAACGAGAGCAGGCTGCTCGGGGGGGGGGGGGCCTGGCTACCTCCGGGGGCTCCACAACCTCTCCGGGCAGCCTGGTGCAGGGTTAGACCACACTTAAAAAAGGCCTTTTTTTTCTGACATTTAAACGGAATTTCCCCTATTGCAGCTTGTGGCTGTAGCCTTTTGTAGCTCTTTTTTTATCTACCCCCCATCAGACACATCAGGAAGATCTCCCTGAGCCTCCCCTTCTCCAGGCTGACCAAGCCCAGCTCCTGCAGGCTCTTCTCAACCACTCCAAGCTCTAAACCATCAGCTTGGCCAGCCACCGCGCTCGTGTGTCCCTGTCCCTCCTGTACTGGGAAGCCCAGTGCTGGCCCAGCACACCAGGTGGGTCTCCCCGGCGCTGAGCAGAGGGGCAGGATCACCCCCACCTTGACCTGCTGGAGAGGGTCTTCTCAACGCAGCCCAGGATGCTGGTGGCCACCTTTGCTGTGAGGGTGGATTGCTGGCTCGTGGGCAGCTTGGTGTCCCCCAGGACTCCCAGGTCCTTCTCTGCAAAAAAATGCTTTCCGCCCCAACGGCCCCCCCCGTGGGTGTGAGGGGGCTAGCCCTCATCAGGGGGAAGGGTCAGCCCCTTGCTGAACTTCTTGAGGCTCCTCTCACACCATTTCTTCAGCCTGTCCAGGTCCCTCTGAACGGTGGCACGACCCTTTGGTGCGTCAGCCCTTCCTCCCAGATTTGTATTATCTGCAGATGCGCTGCGAGCGCGCTCTGTCCTGGTGTCCAGATCATTAGTGATGAGGTTAAAGAGGAGTTGGCCCTGTTACTGACCTCTGGGGCAGACCACCAGTGACCCATCTCCAGCTGGACTTTGTGCCGGTGAACCCAGCCCTCTGAGTCCAGCCTTGGGAACAGTTTTCAACCCACCTCAGTGTCAGCTTATCCAGCCTGTACTTCGTCGGCTTCTCCATGAAGGTGGTGTGGGAGATGGTGCCCAGCGAAGCACCCACTGCTCTGCCCTCGTCCACTGGGCCAGTCACCACACCGCAGAAGGCTGGGTGGGCACAGGTTCCCCTTGTGAAGCCATGCTGACTGCTCCCCACCACCTTTTTGTCCTTCAAGTGTCTGGAAATGGCATCCAGGAGTAGTTGCTCCACCACCTGCATGGGGGGGGGGAGGTGAAGCTGACTGGCCTGAAGCTCCCTCAAGCCTCCTTCTTGTCTTTGAGGGAAGGAGGGACTTTTGCTCTCTTCTAGTCCTCAGAAACCTCCCCAGTCACCGTGCCCTTTCCAAAATCACTAACAGTGGCCTTGCAGTGGCTCCCGCAGCACCCATGGGTGCAGCCCATCAGGCTCTATGGACTTGTGCATGTCCACATCCCTCACCACATCCAATGCCGGGTGAGCTTTGGCTTCCCAAGCCCCATACCAGAGCATCCTTATGCTTTTCCCAGGTCCCCTGCCCCTGCTTCCACCTCTTGTACAGTACCTTTTCATGTCCAAGTTGTGTCAGGAGTTCCTTGGGCGTCCAACGCTGCCCCTGACCTTCATGTCCCCCACCGGTCCTTACTGGGTTGCAAGCGTGGGGTGCAGCAGAGCGTCTCCCCCCACTTCCCTGTGTCAGGACAACATCATGGGTGCCCTCCAGAGATCTCCTGGGTGGCCTGGGCCCGGCTGCAGTGTCCCTCTAGCAGGCATTGGGGTGGGTGATGTCCCCCACGATGAGCAGACTCTGCCAACGTGCAGCTTCTTCAAGTTGCTTGAAAGCTTCATCCAGCTGCTTCTCCTTGGAAGAGGCTCCTAGCAAGCTCCCCAAATGCTGATGAGGCCAAGCACCCCAAAAGCGTGTCCTCAAGCTCCTTCTATTTAAAGGTGCTCTTGAGCATCGTGGGCCGGGGCCACCCCAGGAGGGAAAGATTCATCGTGGTGTTTGGTCCCATCTGAATTGCCCTGTCCAAGAGAGCACCCACGTCCACAGCCCACGGGCAACGGCTCCCTGCACCCACCAGGCATCAGCCCCCCCCGACGCGACTCAGCAACGCATTACCTAAACCCCAGCAAAATGCTGTTCCCTTCCATCAGCAGTTTGCCCTTCCACATACGTGTGCCTGCCGTCTGGGTCTGAAGGCGCGGGTTTGTTGCACTAATAGAGGACGAAAAGGGAAACAAAAAAGCGAAAAGCTCTGAGATGGAAAATCGGAGCTGGAAGGGCTGAAAAGGCCCCGAGGAAAGTCTACGGCAGGTGTGCAGTTAGGGGCAGCCTGCAGGTCCTGCTGATGGGTGAACTGGAAAGAGGCTTAAAAAAGGAAAAGCGGGAGAAAAAAAAAAAAAACAAAAACAAAACAAAACAAACCAAAACAAAACAATTCTGGGCTGTCAGGAGCTGTTGGATGAATCTGTACCAGAGACCAAAGGTTTGAGCAACCTGTGCTCCCGGATTATGCCACACCTGAGCCCCCTCCAGCCCGGGGGAGTCAGGCTCCCGTTCCCCCGCCCTGCGGAGGCTGCAGAGCTGGGAGCAAAGACAGGAGCTGGTGGCCGCTGGTTTAGTGGCTGCTGGGCTGTGTCGGTCTCAGCAGCATCCCCAGAAGGCGCAGGATAACCCCAGGTTTTCTGGTTACCAGGGACGGTTCTAAGTCTAGCCCAAAGGGTGATGAGGAAAAGCCAGTGCAGCCACCCAGGAGCACCCCCCAAAGGGGACACTCTTGTCCCTTACCCCCAGCTCCCGGTGCGGGTACAAATGCCCCATATTTAACAGCGAGGGGAATAGCCAGGGGACCAATTTATCAGCGGCGGTAGGCAGGGATTTCCCATTACAGGAAAGTTTTTAATCAAGACGGAGAGGGCTTGACCAGAAGAGCTTCTCGAGTTCAACGAATAATTAATTCCCCGAGTCTGTCAGCCGAGGCTGCGCGGGAGAGGCTGGGTGATAACAGCGGGCTGTCTCCCAGCCAGGAACCCGCTCCCGGAATATTCCAAATTGCTGCTGCGAGGATCCCCGGGCTGGCAGCCCACGCCAGCAGCACCGGGCTCGTCACCACCGGCACGACTGTTTTGCTCAGCGTGGCCTCCGTCACCCCCCTCGTGAGCGGCGAGCGATGCCGCGCAGCCCCCCCGGGGAGGAAAATATTCCTAGATCTGGCGCATGGAGGCTGCGAGGGGCTGGGCGTATGCGGCCTGATGCTGTTCAGCTGCGGCGGAGGCAGAGGCTTGACGGCTTTTTTAGAGAGTGAATTCACCGCGGGGCTCAGCAGCGTCGCCGAGCGCTCCGGGGAGCTATTTTTAATCGGGATCTGCAAAGAGCTTGGCAACTGGCCGCCTGGCACGGGCACCTTGGGGCCGCAGCATCGCTCGTGGAAGCAGCGGGGCTGAGCGGTCCCCGCGCCCACCCTGGGGGTCACAGGCCCTGGCGTGGGGTCAGAACGACTGCCCTATACCTATATGGCTCTATATGTCCACATGGGCAGTTTGGAGCCTCGTGAAGGTGAAGCCCCCTCCCTGCGTCTCCCAGCAAGGTGCCTGGTGATGGGTGCTTAAATTAGTCTAGCGGCAGCGCTCATCCCTGTGTAATTTGGGGGAGAGGGTCCCAGAGCTGCGCTGGCTGCCCTGGTGCCATCGGTACCCCCAAAAGGAGCAATCGGGGGGCAGACCACGGCATCACCCAAAACCCAGCGCAGGCAGAGCTTTGGTGCTTACAGCCTGCCAAAGCAGCATTTTCCTTCTTTTCCGTAAGAAAATGCCCTGCTGACCAAGCCTGGTCGGAGGAGAAACTGCCCAGCTTGGCCAGAATTCCCACTTTTTCTACAGGAAATAGATTTTTGGCCAATTTTAAATAATAATAATAATTTTAAAATTATCCTGGCAGATTTTGACAAAGCGGCACCACCTCCACCCCTGCAAAGGGGCAGCACAAGCAGGTGGGTGTCAGCTCCCCAGGGCAGCAGCATCCAGCAGCGGGATGCAGCCGAGGGGCTGCCCGGCATCGGGGTGACCACCCCCAGGCCTCCCCCAAAAAGCATTTCCAGCCCCCATGAAAGCTCTTGCTCCTCTCCCACGACGAGCAGAGCTCAGGGCCGGGCTCAGCAGAGGGAGCCACAGACTGTGTGTCCCCAGGCAGGCGGCTGCGGAGGCCGGGACCCAGCGTGGTCCTTTTTCCCCTCTCCCCGCATCACTGACCTTGAGCATCACCCAGCCGGAGCCAGGACCTCTGTAACCCCCCACCTCTGCCAACTATCCCTCCCACTGCTGCTGTTTTCCTACAAAAAGCTTTCCAGGTTCTTCTCTTTCTCTCCCCCAGCTGCCTTGGCCCCTTGCGGTAACACCCATTTCCCTCCCAGTTTTCCTCCC